ACCCTCATACACCTTATTTACTTTTTGTTTGGACTTACAACAAAATAGAGTTTTGGCCTAGTCTGATTGGTCGGCCGACCAATTTATTGGCTAGCCGGCTAAGTTTTTGGTCGGCCAGCTCACTTTTTGGCTGACCAACCAACCTCTTTTGGACAGAACCCAGTAGCCTCCTGGCGTTGAGTAGAACGGTCTTTGACGGTCTTCGAGGCCCCGTGAAGCTTCTGTTCTTCCTGTTTTTCTTTTAATTTAAGAGAGATTTGTGAGGATATATCTTGTTATAATATTTTCTTTCTTTCCTCCTATTCGGATTTGTAATATTCAAATGTTGTAATAATTCTCCGCCTCGCTTCTTTCTATCTCATTCTTTTACTCATTTTCCCTACCTGCACATATGTTATTCTGTCTATGACTCGTCATGGATGTTCTGTATAAGCTATTGATCTATTGTAAACGTTCCATACAATGCCAATCTTTGATGATCGTTCAGCATGCATTCGATAGTAATCATTATGTATGATATCTACCCATTATAGACGTTTTGAATCAAGTCGTCGTAAGTGGGCATTCTGCATAAGTCGTCTAATGTAGACGTTCTGAATGATGTCATCCAATATGGGCATTCTGTACAAAGTCGTCAAATGTTGGCGTTCTATAAAATGTCGTCTAATGTGGCTTTCCGTATGAAGCCATCCAATGAGGGCGTTCCGAATGCTTCATTCCATTGTGAACGTTCTGTGTGATAATCCATCAAGTTTTGATAAGGCTTTTGAAAATGTACCATGATATGTGTAGTACCATGAAAGGTTCGAAGAAGGTTTGATGATATATTTGTTATTATATGTTTCTGAAACATGCTTAAATTATGTCAAGTACTATATATGGTTTTGAAAATATATGGAACTCATTTATTAACCCATTTAGTTAGAGACTACTTATTGGGCTTCCAACTCACTCCGTTTATATATATATATATATATATGTGTGTGTGTGTGTAGGTGAGCATCATGGAGTTCAGCATTAGAGACTGCTTTGGATCATTCCCTTTTTGTGAAGCCACCCGAGATGTGTCTTCGCATCGAGACCTTAGTTTTTGTTTGGCCAAGCTTGTGAAGCTCTGGTTTTGTATAGTTGGTTATGCTATAGTTTTGATCTTAGGTTATATATATTTGATAAATGTTTGTAAATATTATATTTTATGGAGTACAAATTTTGTAATTTACTTTCGCTTTAGACCCCGTATAATTATTGAAATTTCTGTCTGAGACCGTAAGTAATCTCATGATTACTAGCTGGTCATAATCCAAACCTCTAGGAGCGGGTTCAGGTCGTGACAAATATTATGTCCATAAGGACAACCTCCCATAAAATGGCCAAACTATCCACGTATATATAGTATTTCCCAAACCAAACCCTACCCAAACCGTTCCATCATCTCTCTCTCTCTCTCTCTCCGCTTCACCTCTCTTAATGGCACTGCACGATCTCCGTCGTCCATTCAAACGTTCGGTGATCTTTAATCAACAAAAACGTTGTGACCTCATCACAACCCTCGCAACGTTTAGCGCCAAGCTCGGACGATGACTCACTATCGTACACCACAGCAGAACATCAGACATCAAGCATCACTTGCTAGAATCTCCCTCGCCGGAGACTCTTTCATCTGATCTCTAACTCAGCCTAATTCAATTGACCTCACTATCTCTATCAACCTCCAGATCCAGAAGCTTAATTAATCGAGGACATCGATCATTTACTCAAGAAACATGAGCTATCTTGCGAACCACTAGCGTGCTTCAGCGCCCCTAAGCTTCAGCACCTGTCGAACATCAAGGTCACTAGTTTAGTGCTGAAGCTGAGGTTTGGACACAAGGTCAAGCTCCACGGAGGGTTCTTTTGGCTTAGATGTAGGTTCGGGGCCTTGGCTTTGAAGAAAGATGACTATGGAGGTTAAACAGTAAGGTTTCAAATATGAGATTTCTCATTCAAAAATATATGTTTAAGATTTGGAATTTCTCATTCGAAAATATGTTTAAGATCATTCGAAGGTCCAAGTCTTTCCTCATTAAAAATTTTCATTCGAAACCATGTCCTTTAGATTCGAGATTTATTATTAAAAAAAAAAGACATGTTTCAAATATGAAAATTTTCATTTGAAAATATATCTTTAAGATCTGAGATTTCTTATTCGAAACTTGCATTTGAGATATGAAAACGTGTTGGAAAGAGAGAAAGTGTGTATATATATATTTTGCGGAGCCTCCTCCCTGCACAGGCTTTTGATTTTTTGCAATAGTTCTTGTTGTTGTTGTTGATGATGAAGATTTAAGATCTGTTCTTTTTTTTTTTGTAGTTCTTATTGTTATTGATAATGATGATGATGATGATTAAGAAGATCTGAGATCTGGTTTTTTTATTTTTTTTGGGTTGATGATGGTGATGAAATAGATTGTAACAAATAGAGGAGAGAGAGAGAGAGAGAGAGAGGGAGAGAGAGAGAGAGAGAGAGAGAGAGAGAGAGAGAGAGATTTGAATAGATATAATTTAGTTTGGCTTGGTATTTCAACAGATAGATAGAATTTAGGAGAAAATTTGAGCAGATAGTCAAAATTTTTGAACAGATAGATATAAAATTGAACATATAGATGGACTTTAGAAGAAAAAATTGAACATATAAATATAAAATTAAACAGATAAATAGAAGTTAGGGACAAAATTGAACAAATAGGTAAAATTTAGGAGAAAAATTGAACAGATAATGGAAAAACTAAATAGATAGTCAAAAAATTTGAAGAGATAGATATAAATTTGAAAAGATAGACAAAAATTTGGACAGATAGATGTAAATTTGAATATGTAGTCAACCAAAAGTCAAACAAATAAAGAAAGTCAAAGCGTAAAATAGAAAACAAAGGATGTGTTTGGAAGGATTTTCAAACTATATTTCCACAATAGACAAAAAACTCTGTGTCAGGCGAGATTTTCAAATTTTTTTTTTTAAAATTTGGCCTAACCGGTCGTCCCACTAATCGTTCGGCCGGTTGACCGGAACAGTGCAATTTTTTTTTTTTGCAATTGACACGTTAATTTTTATATGTTCAAAAAAAATATTTTCCAAATTTTTAAAATTTTTTTATGAACTTTAATAGAATTTTGAATTGTGTGTTTGATTATAAGTTATAAGTTTTTGTATCAAACATCATATGTGACATCAAAAATTCCTCATTCAATTCAAAACTCTTTTCAAAACTCATTTACCAAATAAATTTTTTTTTACACTCAAATCATAATTCCAAAACTCAAACTCAAAATACAACTCCTATTCTCAAATTATATTTAGAAAACTCTACCAAAATATCTTCTAAAACTTTTCATCAAATTATTTTACAAAGCATGAATTTTTCACCAACAAAAAAAATTTACTAGACCTAATGCCTTATCACAACTTTTCTCTTTTTTTAATAGTCTGTTATTAAAGAAAATTGAATAAAACCAAAGTGACTTCACTTGTATAGTCTACATTTATTCACGCAGTAAGCTTTAAAACAGCTTCAATGATCCTGCAAGTTGAATTTTTTCTGGTTTTCATGGCGGTCTGAGTATAATTTTTGGTTCACCAAATGTCGGCAAAATGAATGAAAACAGACTAGCGAGTAGCGACCAAGAAACAGGCCTGGTGAATGAGGTGCTTCATTAATGAGTATGATGTCGGGTTCATGTTTCGCTGCTGTATAATGCAGAAGGGGAAAAAAAATTATGACGGACTACAAATGTGGACAACCACGTAAAAAATATCTAATTAGGGTTTCCTTCAAGTAGAAAGACATCAAGAAACTTAACCTCTTAACATAATATAAACAACGTTTCTTTAAAAAGCTAGGAAATCATCAGTATGTATATCACATAACAAAATATGACACATGAGGCAAGTCTTTTGTTGAACAGATAGATATAAAATTGAACATATAGATGGACTTTAGAAGAAAAAATTGAACATATAAATATAAAATTAAACAGATAAATAGAATTTAGGGACAAAATTGAACAAATAGGTAAAATTTCGGAGAAAAATTGAACAGATAATGGAAAAACTAAATAGATAGTCAAAAAATTTGAATAGATAGATATAAATTTGAAAAGATAGACAAAAATTTGGACATATAGCTATAAATTTGAACATGTAGTCAACCAAAAGTCAAACAAATAAAAAAAATCAAAGGGTAAAATAGAAAACAAAGGATGTGGTTGGAAGGATTTTCAAACTATATTTCCACAATAGACAAAAAACTCTGTGTTAGGCGGGATTTTCAAATTTTTTTTTTTTTTGAAATTTGACCTAACCGGTCGTCCCACTAATCGTTCGGCCGGTTGACCGGAATAGTACAATTTTTTTTTTTGCAATTGACACATTTTAATTTTAATATGTTCAAAAAAAATATTTTCCAAAATTTTTAAATTTTTTTTATGAACTTTAATAGAATTTTAAATTGTATGTTTGATTATGAGTTATAAGTTTTTGTATCCAACATCATATGTCACATCAAAAATTCCTCATTCAATTCAAAACTCTTTTCAAAACTCATTTACCAAATAAATTTTTTTTTACACTCAAATCATAATTCCAAAACTCAAACTCAAAATACAACTCCTATTCTCAAATTATATTTAGAAAACTCTACCAAAATATCTTCTAAAACTTTTCATCAAATTATTTTACAAAGCATGAATTTTTCACCAACAAAAAAAATTTACTAGACCTAATGCCTTATCACAACTTTTCTCTTTTTTTAATAGTCTGTTATTAAAGAAAATTGAATAAAACCAAAGTGACTTCACTTGTATAGTCTACATTTATTCACGCAGTAAGCTTTAAAACAGCTTCAATGATCCTGCAAGTTGAATTTTTTCTGGTTTTCATGGCGGTCTGAGTTTAATTTTTGGTTCACCAAAGGTTGGCAAGATGAATGAAAACAGATTGGCGAGTAGCGACCAAGAAACAGGCCTGGTGAATGAGGTGCTTCATTAATGAGTATGATGTCGGGTTCATGTTTCGCTGCTGTATAATGCAGAAGGGGAAAAAAAATTATGACGGACTACAAATGTGGACAACCACGTAAAAAATATCTAATTAGGGTTTCCTTCAAGTAGAAAGACATCAAGAAACTTAACCTCTTAACATAATATAAACAACGTTTCTTTAAAAAGCTAGGAAATCATCAGTATGTATATCACATAACAAAATATGACACATGAGGCAAGTCTTTTGAAGCCCATCTCTTCATTATTTATTTTATCTTTCTCTTTCGCTTTTGGGGCAAATTCTATCTACATTATCAGGCAAGCTAGGAACCGACAACTTAACACTCTCCACCATTTTCCGAACAAACAAAGTTCCTCTTGAGCGGCCATGATTCCCCTGCCATCACACCTTCGATCTCCCATGTCTCCCGTGGAACTTTTGTCATGTTCACACAACCATTTGCAGTGACATGCTACAGAGTATCAAAAAAGAAAAAAGCATAAATAACTGCAGTTGAAGCATATCAATTATATGTAATATATAAAAAATTGGAACACAGGAAAAGAATGGCAGTGTGAACATGAAATACTCTGAATTACAATTACAACATCACAAGCGGGGACTCATAACTAGGACAATACTAAAAATATGCATATAAACACAAGGATGTCATTTCTATCTAAATATGATAGACACATCCTAGTCCAGTTTCAAATCATTCATGGAGGAGTTGTAGAAGTGCATTTATATACAAGTGAAGATTTCAAAACCGTTCAGATGTCTGAACAGATGTAACAAAACCAACTTGATCACATACTGCATCTTCTATAGAGAGACAGGGAACACAAACAGCATGGTTTGCAAAAAAATATATCAAAAAAAGTAAAATTTATATGGGTGTTGAAGAGATGAGAATGTTATACCATATCACTTTCAATTCGTACTCCACCAAAACCCTTAAATCTTCCTATTTCTTCACAATCGAAAAACTTCGAAGTGTGTGAACTTTCCATGGCAGGAATCAGCAATGCATCTATAAAGTAGCATCCAGGCTCCACAGTAATTACCTGCAATAAAACATCCGACCTCATTGTGTGTTTCCATAATTTATAATGTATCATTTCATTCGAACCCACAGGCAAGTGAGAGAAAGATCAATAGGCCACAACTTATTTAATTTTTGGTAATTGAAGCAAAATAGCTAAACCGCCCACCAAGTATGACAACTACATTTTCATGTTTCAAAATAGCAGGATGAGAGACAAGGGCCACGAGTTCAGTGGTTAAATTCGGCCCAATAACCTTGAGGTTGAGGGTTCAAATTCAAATACAAGGGCAGCCACATTGTACATAATGGTCAAAGGTTAGGTCTACACCTAGTCTACCATCCCAGGCCCCCAAATTTGGGGCCATTGGCACGACAGTAAGATTGCACAATTGCACCCTAAAGCGTATAGGTTCAAATACAAAAACAGCCTCTCTGAGTACGGGGGTAAAGTTACATACAACCTTGAGGTTGTGGGTTCAGATCCAAAGGCAGCCGCTGGTACACAACAGTCAAAGGTTAGGTCTATACCCAGTCCACCCCTCCTGGACCCCCATTAATAGGGACTAAATTTTGGGACATTTACACAACGGTAAGATTGTTCCATTACAACCTGGGAATTCACAAGTTCAAACCACAGAAATAGCCTCTCATGTGGGGGTAAAGTTGCGCACATCTGACCCTCCCTAGGATTATTATATAAATTATCATCAATTTAAAGAACTATTGGTTTCAATTAGACCGAGCCTTCTACTAAGCATACTAACAAAGAAAAAGAAACAATGAATGGGCTAGTTCTTTTAGGTTGTGTTTAGATCTAAGATTTGAAGAGGGAAAAGGAAAAGGAAAAGGAAAAGAAAAAAGAACAAAGAATAAGGGCCAGGAAAATGTGACAAAAATTTACCTTTTATTACATTAACTTGATTATCCATAAATATCAATTGAAAATGAAATGTTAAACGTGTTACACGGTCTTGGATAGAACTTAACCTCAAAAGCTAACTATTAAGGTGAGGGTGCCCTCACGCTTATATGCTTAACATTACTTTATTACTTACGTAATGTGAGACTTCGTTTCACACCCTTGGATAGAACTCAACCTCAAAAGATAGCTATTGAGGTGACGGTACCCTCAAGCTTATATGCTTAACATTACTTTAGTACTCAAGCAATGTGGGACTTCGCTTCACAAAAATAACTTAATATAAAATTTTAAAAAGTAATTTCCATATCGAAAAATATATTTTAAATAAAAATTGTAAAGGACCTCATTTTGATTTTTTGCCTCGAGCCTCAAATTGCCTACTTCCTTACCTTCCGCAAATTTCTCTTCAAATCCTTGATCCAAATATAGCCTTGAGATAATAAAGAATAACACCACTAAGCTATATAGATACATTGCCTTCTAATACTTATTTCCAGCCAAAATAACTCTTGTAGCACCATTTATGTACACAAAAAAGAATGGTGGTTATACAAAATGGTTGACATTAGTGCAGGCATAGTATGAAAGAGGACATCTAATCCTATTATTATCAAATGATTCCCCTTCTGCATGCATAGAGTCCCACTTAGCGCAATTAATATCAAGATATCAATCCAAAAGAAAGTACACATTGAAAACATGTTCTACACTAGTGCATAGAAAATAAAATAGTACTAAAGCGATTTTGTTATAAACAAAACATGACTAATTATCCCAATAATTCTATGAAGCACGAACACGCCGAAATAGGTGTCATAGCGGTGTCGGACACGGGAACACGCCATTTGGTGTGTCCCTTTAATTTTTATTTTTATTTTTGCAAGGGGCACACCGGGGACACTTGTGTCCAAAATCAAGCCAGAAAGAGTTCAGAAATTTGGCCGTAAATCTCAAAATCAGAATAGAAAGAGAAAAGAAGAAACTGGTTACCTAGTTCGTCGGAAGAAGAAGACGAGGCTCTCGTCTCTCTCTTGCCTCTGGTCCCTCAGTTCTCTCTCTGACCTCTCATCTCTCCCCCGCGCCTTTCGCTTCTCTCTTCTCTTTTTTTTTATTTTATTTTCATTTCCTCTAATTTATACACCTTTTTCTCTCTATTTCTAGATTTATATTTATATATTTAAATTTTGTTCTTTATAAGTTTATATATTTTTTTATTTATTTATGATTATTCTAATATATTTTTTAATTTCGTTATTTATTTATTTTTACCTTTATAAATATAAACGTAGTATTTTTTTATATATATTGAATTAATGTTAGTTTTTTTAATTTTTGATTGTTTGGTAACATAATATTAATTTACATAGCAAATATATATAAATAAAAAATAAAAAAAATTGCCGTGTCACCATTTTTTGAAATCACCGTGTTCGTGTCTGTGCTTTATAATAGTACTCCTCTAGCAGGAAAGTTCACTGGTTTACCATTCCCTCCTGGAGTTCTCTACTTGTACGTAAAGCCTTTAACCCAGATTCCGAGGGTCTCTTTGCTCCCTGAATGTCAAGCAATTTATCTAATTTCATTAGTGATATGCAAGTGCTAATACAAGAAGAGGCGTGTTAGAATTTACCATCACCTACCACCACTACCACCTCACCTACTCCACTAAACCTAACCCACTACACCACTACCACCTCACCTACTCCACTAAACCTAACCCACTACACCACTACCACCTCCACTTCACCTACTCCTCACCTACTACACACTCACCCTCTCCTATATATAGGAATCATTGTAACCATAACATAAAAATATCAATCAATAATAATACATACAATTTATTCTCTCTCTTTCTCTATACATTATTTCTTACAAGGCGCATCTTTGAATAATAAATGTAGAAAAAAAGAAATATTATATCATCACAATGACCTTTAAGTAACCCCCAGGATCATGGGTATCGATTCCCAAGAAGTGACCCAGCCCATGGGGCATGAAAACAGAACCCAGTCGTTCAGCCATCATCTCATCAACATCACTGGAACCAAAAATACAAATTAACAAACTTTTATGAGTAATTTTTCATCAAATTTTTCTGATAATGTAAAGAGAAGTATAATACTGAGAAAACAAAAATACCCGACAAGGAGGCACCCTCTCTTCAGTGACTTGAGAATAAGTTTCTCTGCTAATCTGAAATATTAGGGAGAAAACCAGAATTGAGATACAAAAGTGCAAAGCAACATAAATTGTTATGGAAAACAGATGTGTCATCAACGTAAGATGGCATCATTAATAATAACACTTCTATTTTGCAAATTTGACATTGACACAGAACTCTGGCATATTTTGAAATATCAATAATTTTCCTGATGTAATCCCATAACTGAAAATTAAGAATTGCAATTATGAATAGCATACCAGTGACAAAACCTTGCTGATAACCTGTAGAAACTCTAGAGGTTAAAGATACAGCATTGAATAGTCGCAACATAAGTATCAAACTCGGATATAAATATTGTTTTAGTATAAAACCTTCTCTATCTTTTACAAGCTACCAAATGCTTGTTAAATTGTATTTCTATTTTCTTGTCAAATAAAATGTGACTCCATATATTCAAGACAAACCTACAAATTACAGTTTCTTTCCATTTTCTATCCCACAATTGCCTTTGCTTTGTTTGCCTCATTGTTTTGTTATTCATATTTGGAGCTTTAAAAGATTGCTTGCCTCACTTTTTATACCCTTCAGGGTCCAACTAAAAGAAATAAAGAATCAAGGTTTACTTGCACCAAATCTCAATCTACAAAGTCATATCTACTGATATATCTTAGGCCCTCGACTCATCAGAAAAGCCAGGCATTCTAAGTGGTATCTCTTGTAAATCACTAATATAAAATGCATACTGTAACAGCATGAAAATAGAAAGGACAGCAATTCTGAATAAATCTATAGAAACATTTTCACAACCGAGTCTTACTGGTGCATATCCACCCAGCTTACTCCAGGTTTCATAGAAGATATGACAGCATTGTGAGCAATCAGGACAGCCTACAAAACATAAAGATTGAATAATAAAAGGCTGCAAGTGGTCAGACCCAGAAAGATGGGCACATATATGTAAACATGCATGCATATAGAGGCAGGTATAGAAGAATATGTGGCCATAACTTAGTTGAGTCTTAGTGATTACAAAAGTGTTGTCCAACCAACTAAAATGATCACCGCTTTTTAGAAGTAAAGCACTTACATTATATACAAGACATTGATCACTTGTAAATTTTCCATTCACCTGCATGCACAATTGGACGTATTATAGAGAAGATCCTCTATGATCATAGAGGGATTAAGAAAAAAACGAAAGCTTGCTGCTAATCTAAGCACTGAAACACATAAGTGATCTAAGAATCTAACTGAGAGACAAGATATTCATATCTTGCTGAATAATTTCAATAATGACAGCAGTTGGACTAGGCAATGAAATCCAAAGAAAAGATTATGAGCAAGATTCTGAAAAGCAGTTGCGGTCGCCGTAACGGTGGCGGTGGCGCGGTTGCGGTTGCGGTTGCAGGGTGTAAAGGCCGTAGCGTAACGGTTGCGGTAACCGAAACTGTGAATTTTTTTATTTTTCACACAATTTGAAAAAAACTTACTGATACGCACATTTTTTTTCCATGATCATATTTATTGGGTTTTAAAATAAATATTGATCAATTTTTATAAATTTTTTAGTTTGATCCAATATATTTCATATTTTTAAATCACTATAAACTGAGTTTTTTACATTTTATTTTAATAATTAATGATTTTATATTATACAAAAAATCAATCACTAACTATTATATATAAGATAAACAATGACAAAAGTAAGAGAATAAATAAAAGCCTAAATATATTTATATATATATTAATCAAGCCAAATAGATAATGACCACACTTATTATTATTATTATTATTATCAAACAATATATAGATAGACACACACAAACAAAATGGTTGAGTGATAGCAGCTGAATAGAATAGCATAGGTCTTACAACTTCAACAAATCAATAACATGTTCTTCATCTTTCCTATTCTCTCTCTATCTCTTGTTCTTCCCTCTTCCCTCTTCTCTCTCTATTTCTCTTCCCCCATTTTCAACTTTTTTTTTTGGGTGTTTTTTCGAAAGAAGCAATTCGGAACCGTTACGTAACGGTGCGTAATAGGCCGTTACGGCACCGTTACGACTGTTATAGCAGCCGCTACGGCCGATATACCTGTGAATCTCAATCACACTGCAAAAGCGGCCGTAATGGGTGGCAATAATTACCACAACCGTTACGTAACGGCGTTACGTAACAGTTGCGGCCGCTTTTTAAAACCTTGATTATGAGCAATGGTACCATGGAAAAAATCTTGGTAGGGGAGAAAAAAATGAAGTGAAAAGTAAATCTATCATCATAATATTTCCTTTATCGCAACAAAAATGTGATAACCTAGACTAGGCTGCATTGAACATCCTAATTTTCACAACAATGTATTCACCAACTTTCGGAATTGATTAGCTTGGCAAGCAATCAACTTGCAACCTAAAGAATGCAACCCGAATGGCTAAGTTTTGTCATAAATCTTCCAGCCATGCAGCATTTTTTTGAAAATGTCAACTCCCTAAATTTCAGCTTTTTATTTTTTTTAATTTTTTTTTTTATTTTCTGAAACCAAACAAGATTTTGTTTCCTACTGTTGCCTGTTCTTTTGTCACTTTGAAATATTTTTCCAAGCCTGAAGCCTTTGGCTCAACTAATCAAGGAAACAGTTTTCTGCGTGTCTTCCTACCCCTGCACTGTTACTCTTTGGGATTATTCTTTATATAGTTCGAATTACTAAACTTCTTTGGCATATAGCCTTTGCAAGCAGTGGAACCCTAAGTTTGCTCACCCCGTTCAAACTTTCCCCTACTGCTCCAAACTCTTCCATCCATCCCCACCTAAAACCTTTTTCCTCCATTTTTTTAGTGAAGCCAGCTGTATTGTGTACATTATTAGCGAATGATAATACAAACCATTAAGATTTCCTCAAAATAATTACAATAATGTCTGTCCTACCAAAAGCTGAAAAAGTAAAGACTAACTTTAGTTTCCCATGGATGAAATCCATAGGTAACTTCTACTTCTTTTCTGTACTCTTCTGTCCCAAAAAATTATCATCTCAAGCATGAATGCTCTGTAGATATGCTGTTTACTAATCAGCCTTCATCCCATAAGACAAGACCACCTGTGTGTCCGTGTCGCCAGACGCAAGGATTACAGAACATATTTTGAAAAATTCATTCGCACAAGGACTACACAAACACTAAATTCATTTCAAATTAGCACAAAATATGAGTTGACAAGTTAAAGACATTTAGTAAAATGAAAAACACAATTACTCACTGGGAAGGAGCAAGTTATGTCAGAACCATAAAAATGATATTCAGCTCCCATATCTAGTAATGCCATATCTCCATCTTGCAACATCTGTACAGAAGACAGATAAGGTAAATTGTGAACGCTCCAAACACTTCTCACCATCTAGGAGATTATCAAACAACTTGAATTTCAAAATTCTGTTTAAGAGACAGTAAATTTTAGCGTTAAATAGATCACAATTCCAGCTTCTCATCATCAGCACGTTACAATCAAGCAAAGAGCAAGGACAGTAGTTTTTCGGTTTCCAACAGGTTGCTCATTGAATATTAACCATTACCAGTCTTCTTGCACAAATTACAATGAATAATGGACATTTTTAAGGAATACAATACAAAGTTAAAGTCAGCAACTAATAAAGGTCCTCATAAACAATTCTACTTACAATGTCGATTACAAAAATTGATGAATAAATCGATATGCCAACTATGAAAGCAGCATTAGGCCTTTGAAGTTGGACATCCAAATGTTGTGTTTCAAACATTGTACACGGTGGAATAATAAGCCACAACAAAAAGACGTTATAAAGTTCATATCACATAAGAACTATGAAGCAAGGACACCTCTCTAGAGGTCACGTATAGGTGTTTGACACGTGTCGGACACAGACATGCGCCGTACAGGCACTGGACACATGTCGGACACGCTAGAAAGAGTCAAACTCACTGGGATACGCTGAGGACTACTTTTTTCAAAAAAAAAAATATATATATTTTTTTACTAAAATAGTATATCTAAGGTTGATAAATTTAATAAAATTAAATATTTAACATAAAATACATATTAAATATTTAAAAATATGACATATAATAAATATATAATATTATATGTTTTGCACGTGTCCCCCAACGTGTGGTGTCCTACAATTTTTTAAAATTTGTGTGTCTGCGTGTCTGTGTCATGTCACGTGTTGGTTTCTGTGTTCGTGCTTCTTAGCATGAAAATCAACAATCAATTAAAAACTTTTTAAAACTCAAGCCAGATATCTGATCAAAGAACAAAAAATATCCTATGGCGAAGCTTTAACAAAGATCTAGAACCACCTCAAAGAATCAATCTTAACTTGTATAAAAGAACAAATCACCAGAATATAACCTCAGCATCAATCATAAACATCAGCTAGTGACATCAAATGTAAGTTGTATGCTATGAAGCACTGACCGCTTCAATGTCAGACATACAGACACTTTGGGGACACGTATCGGAAACACCACATGGTGTGTCCCCTTATTTAATTAATTTATTTTCAGGAGACACGCCAAGGACATGTCAAGTTGTCTTTTCCCCCATTTTATTTAGTGTGTTTGAATGTTGAATGTTTATTATTTTTTTTCTTAAATTTAAATACTTAATAGATTATCCATAAAAAAAAGATATAAATTGTAAGTGTTAGTTTTAACGTGTTTTTTTTTAAATAAAAAAAAAATAGAATTAGAGTTAATTTTTGTTAATATTGATTGTTTGTGGATGTAATATTAATCTAAATAGCAAATAAAAATATATGAAAACATATTTTATTGCCGTGTTCCCGCAGTATCCATGTCCCCATTTTTTTGATATCGCTGTCCCGTGTTTGCATCCATGTCTGTGTCCGCATCCGCATCCGCATCCGTATCTGTGCTTCTTAGGTTGTATGCAAATGGGGGCGACTAGAAATGTTCCCAACTAGTTAAAGACTCAATACAAAAACTTATTTATTGTTTCTTGCATTTTTATGTTACTAAAGTTATATACAGACCCGTTTGCAGCTTTTAAGCCTAGGTTTGAGTTCAAATATACATCTACAACACTAGTGCATGGTAAGTCTATATATGAAGTTATAATTCCACCATGACTTAGGCTACGTTTGTTTCATACATAGGATTAGGCGGGATGAGTTATCTATTAGTCATTCAGCGACAAAATGCTATCTCGGGATACACCCCCCCCCGGGGTCATCCCAATCAAAGAACAAAAAAAAGAAAACAACAACAACAACAAAAAATCCCTCATATGCGGGATAAAAGAATCCCTAAAATAAGTTACGTAGGATGATTTTATCCTGGGATTATTTAGTACAATCTCGTCACTCTTATTAGCGAATCACAGGTGGCCTTAGTAATAAAAGTGAACTCGTGCATGTCTGCAACGCTTTGGTAATGTACATCACAGTTTTCATATAGTGTTATTATTTCACAAAATGCCTTGATACAAAACTAAGTTCAGGTTAGGATTGCAAACGAGACGAGCCAAGCCAAGCCGAGCTGAGCTTTGCTGAGCTCGATCTCGGCTCGTTTACTTATCGAACTCAGCTCGGCTTGGCTCGTTAATATTAATGAAACTCGAGCTCGGCTCAGCTTTTATTGTTATTACTTATATTATTTAAAAAACATTATTTATATTATTTAATACAAAAATAATGTATTTATGCTATTATTTAATATAAATAACATATTTAATACATAATTTAAATAAAAATAAACGAGCCGAGCTTATTCGAGCTCAAGCTCAGCTTGTTTACTAAACGAGTCGAGCCAGCTCGCGAATAGCTTGGTTTGTTTGCAGCCCTAGTTTAAGTACAACTCTGCAACACTCTGGAGTATGTAAATGCCCCCATTATCCACCCTAGAGAAGTTAAGCTTCAAGATGCACCAAGGCACCTCAGCAAGGGCAATAAGATATTTAAGATTGTAATGCAGTCACAGAATCGTGTAAAGCCAAAGAATAATCATCTCCATGTATGCTCTGTAAAGATAATTATTGTATGCTCTGTAAAGATAATTATTGTGTCTGTATAAAATTTAAACAATTAGCTCCAGTTGTAATAGAATGAATAAAAACTAACACAAATCATTTAATTCTTTTCATCTATGCTTATAGGCCTCTAATGACCTTTCATCATCTCTAATTAGCCGTTCAATTATGTAAGAAGTACTAGATATGTTTTCTTTTGTAATAAAAATTGTAGTCACTGTTGGATTGCTTGATATACATTATTGGGCCCATTTCTTAACAGCTTAAGCTTTTAGGATTAGTGGTGACTAAACATGATATCAGAGCTCAGGTTAAGAGAGGTGTTCGCTTTCAAGTCTCTCCGTTGGCATTTGGTATTCTACCCTTGTTTGGTTTCCTCTTCTTTGTTTAGTTGTTTGCTTGTCTTTCTATTTGGTTCTATGATTGTCACTCTCCACGTGCAAGACAGGTCGCACATGAGGGAGGGTATTGGATAGCTTGATATACATTGTTAGGCCCATTTCCTAATAGCTTAAGATTTGGGATTGGTGGTGACTTAATAGTCACAACAGGAAAAAAAATAAATAAATAAATGCCTTTCATGCATTTCCAACATTATGATTTATGCACACGGTAAAAACTACTGTCCACAAACACCAAGAAGAGCCCCTCCACCAAAAAAATTAAATAAATCCTTCCTTGCTGCAAAAATAAAAAATGCATGCTGCCACAGCCATATATGTCCTTGTTGCTCAACAAAGCATAAACATACAAATCCAGAAATACTCATGCACAACCCCAAGCACACAACATTTTTACACAATACTCACAAGAAAACGAAGATCACTGTAAACAGGCAGAATACGAGTCTGGACAAAAATTAAATGAACCTTAGTTTTCTGGTTCATAAATCCAACCAAATACATCAGCAACATTAGGGAACGAAGCAACAAATTTACCATACCTTATCATTTGGAGCTGCTGCATGCCCATAGTGAAGAACAGAACTGTTTCATGAAACATTAATACTGTCAGCTGTCAATTTTACCATGAAATAAAGAATGACAACAGTTACAACCATACAAATCAGATATTCAAATAAAAGCATTGCTGTTCTTTTTGCAAGAAAAATGTTCAAATTTGCCACGTGACAAAAATGTGTGTGTAACCATATGAAATTACAACCCCTTTAATATAAAATGTAAACACATGCTTTGAGTCTCAATTTTCGGGGGGGGACATGATTTTGGTGGAATTTTTAAGCTTGTTAAGGGGGCAGTAAACAGTATGATTGGTATTTTAGGGTGGGGGGGGGAGAGATCTTAGGTTCAAGTCTCGCCATTTGCATTATTTCTCTCTTGTTTGCATTCTTTCTTACATGTTTACATCTCCATGTACAAGACAGGCTTACTTGTGAGGAAGGGTGTTGAATGGCTTAATATACCTAGTTGGGCCCATTTACTAACAACTTTAGCTTTTGGGACAATTGGTGACTTAACATAAACCAGTCACCTGTACCATATTCCTGAACGATCCCTTTTGTAATATTGAATGACAGAAACACTTACCAGAAGGGGGCAAAAAAAAAATTAATAATAATAATAAAAAGAAAAAAAGAAAATTTACCTATTGTCACCAGTAGCACAAATGCATGTGTATGAACAATGCCTACATCCACCATACATGTAGGTGTGGTGTAAAAACATGCTTTCCAACTGATATTCTTTCATGCCCACTTTTGTTTTCCTCATAACCTACTCAAATGAAACATTTGTGATCTAACAAAATCACAAGCACATTATTACTCATAAAATAAAACAAGAAACATGTATATTATTAGGATACTAAATAAATGAAGAAAATAAAAGAAAAGAAGGAAAAAGAGAAAGAAAAAAAACTGAAGCAATCAACACTCAGTTAATTTTCTCAAAAGAACTCAAATCCTTTTTTTGCCTTGAAAGGGGGTTGATTTTTGACCAACCAAAACAAGATTCTAGGTAATACAATCAACATATTGAATGCCAATATGACTAACAGGGATATTACTAAAGCTTATATATATATATATACACATCCAAAAGAGGAGGTATCCACAAAATCTGAGAAATCAAATCAAGATATCATTGATTAAGTAGTTGCTTTGGCCTCTTCAGCATGGTGAGTCTCATCTTCCTTTTTAAACCCCAGAGAAAAAGAAGATAATAAAGTTCTTTGGCAAAAGCTCAATGTTGCGTGAAAGAAACACAACAAAAAATTGAAGGCCAACTTAGATGAAAACTAAAGAGATCACAAAGAAGCTTTCAACAATAAAGAGACAAGATGTTTTACGGAAGCATGTTTAGCTGGAACTGTTGAAGAATGCTTACCTCAACGTGAGCTTCAGAGCTTATATCATTGGCAAACTGGATGAGAGCAAGCTCCATATCCGATTTGAAAACACGGCACTCAGTCAAAATAGGATGCAAGGTATTCAGATCTGTCTTAAACTTCTCAATTCCCTAAATAGATACGAAACAAAATAATTCTATAATTTCCATTTGGAAATATGGAGTTCAAATATCAGTGCATCAGACATCAGAAATTTTCTTTTAGGCGATCAAATCTGGAACTTAAGAATTGGTATTACTAGAAAAAGAAACACCGAAATTATGACTCCAAAATTGTTCCGTAAAATCAATAAAATCCATAATGAAACAAGTGACTTCGATACCCAAGTCACCGTAAGAATGCTATGCATGTTATGACATTCACTGTAGTAATTAAGTCCCGAAATTGCCCATATCAAAAGGTGTTATATACTGATGGAACTGATGCTTTTGTGTTAGGTTAACCAACCGAAGTGACGATTCATGATATGATGGTTTATGTTGAAGAAATCCCTACCACCATTAATGAGTGATGGTAACTACCGCTAGACTAGAGAAGGCTTTTCCTGTTTAGATATCCAAAAGTAAGGAATCTAGTTCCATGCTGATGCTACTCACTGAAACTTCTTGGCATAATGAACAATTCAACGGTAGAAGCTTAAGTCATACTTTGCAAAAAAATGTCTTTTTTTTGAAGCTTTTTTAGATTTCCTGTTTTCTATGAATTTTATGTTTTCAATTTCCTGCAGAAAGTTTGGCGAGCAGAGTTTCATCAATTCTTACTCTCCTTGTACTTCTTGACTTCAACAAATTGATGCAGCACCAGTAGATGTAATGCAAATTTATTTCATAGTTAACGTTTGATTTAATGAAAGAATGGCCCAGGGTTGTTTAGGCTTTGGTTGCTAAAGGATTTTCTTCTTTATTTTTATTATACATAGTTACATTAATATCTTATCATACGAAATACACTATCTGAAAAAACTAAAATTCTAAGGATATTAATGTAACTATGTATAATAAAAATAAAGAAGAAAATGTATTTGGAACAAGGTTGTTAAGATCGGGATCCTACACAAGATTGTTTTAGGGTCTGTCGGATCGGATCGTAGGATCGGATCGAGGATCGTAAGATCCTACTAAAATGATAAAAAAATGCAATAATTTTTATATGACTAAATAATACTATCAAAATATATATAGAATAAGCCCCCCAAAAAGAAATATAGCAATTCAATGCAGCATTCAAACATTTTTTTTCAAAAAAAGAAGTCAAAAACATAATAAAACCAAATACCAACACTTGCACACCATTGTCATTGTTTCTTAATGAAAACAAAACAAACTAAATAAAGGTCAAAATATTTCATCCTTATTATTTAAATATAGTTAGAAATTTTTTATATGATTTTAAATCAAAATACAATGTTAATTATAAAGGTAAAATGACTTATCAAAAAAATAAAAAATTATAAAGGTCAAATGACTGTAATACTTTCAAATTCTATATTTTTTTTTTTTGTTATTTTATTTGTCTCTCTTCTCTCATATACATAATTTGTAATATCTAATATTAATTCAATTAATCACAATTAATTATAAAATTTTAATTATTTATTGTAATTCTTAACTTTTTATTTTAATTTTTATTTAATTATAATTTAGATCAAAATTAATCCTAAATATTTGCTTATTTGTTGTAATTTCTAACTCTTTAATCTAATTTTAATTTAAATATATTTAATATCACAATTCATCCTAAATTCTTAATTATTTATCGTAATTCCTAACATGTTAATATAATTTTAATTTAATAATATTTTAGCATGTTGGCATGTGGAAGACTAATGCCCCCAAATGAATGTGATTTAGTGAAGGAAAAAATAAATAAGAGGTGATTCAATAAAGAAATAAATAAATAAATAAGATAATGACTTGGTCATCTAAAGAGCTTTACAACAATAAGGTGCTCAAATCATATCAAGATGTTGATTCACATAATAAAATTTCTTTATTGATGAAGAATGATTTTTCAGTTGTTTTTAGTATTTTTTTTACAAAACAAAAATCAATAAATAAGAGGTAATTTACAGAACCAAAAATAAATAAATAAATAAATCAGAACCAAAAATAAATAAATAAATAAATAAGAGCCAAAAAAAAAAAAATCACCGAAGGAGATTCAGTGAAGAAAGGAGAGATCAGTGAAGAAAGAAAGAAGAGTCTTCGAATTCGAAGAAAAAAAAAAAGAGCAGCAGACACAGAGTGGAGTCGCATCGCAGCGAAGAAGAGAGAGGGAGAAGAAGAAGAAGAAGAAGAAGAAGAAGAAGAAGAGGAAGCAGCGTACCTGAGGAAGAGGAAGTAGCTTCGTTTGATGTTGAATGCTTGAATCTCTCTTTCCCCAGGTCAGTCTTCTTCGTTTGCCCTAATCTGCTTTGCTTCTCTTCTCTCACTTTAGGTCTCGATTTGGCTTTTAAGTTGTCCAAAAAATGCTTCAAATCTGGATCGCATGGAGTCGCGATCCAAATGCGATCCTACCGATCCTGTCGATCCCACCACGATCCCACCACGATCCTGCTCTGGGGTCGATCCGATCTACGATCCGGATCGAATAGTGTATAATGAGTCGTAGGATGATCCTACGATCCGGATCGCGATCTTAACAACCTTGGTTTTAAAAGGCACGCCTAAACACGCGCTTAGGCGCAAGGCGCACCGAGACGCACCTGAGGTGCCTCAGACAGCTTGAGGCGAGGCGCAATAGGAAAGGCACATTTGAGGCGCACCTTAGGCTTAGGTGTGAGGCGCACGCCTCATTCGCTTCATTTAAATTTTTGCTCCATTCTTATTCTTTGTGTGTGTAACCATATGAAATTACAACCCCTTTAATATAAAATGTAAACACATGCTTTGAGTCTCAATTTTCATATCCAAAAAATCTCTAGGCATTAAGCACGAGCTCTGGGATTGCAAGATGAATATATGGCTTTGGGATTCCTTTCAATGTAGTAAATTATACTAGTTTCGAACCAATGATTGAAGCTATCAGACAATTTGGTCTAGATTTAAAATTAAAACCACTAAGGTATTATATGGTGTGAATTTCTTATCTAAAAAAAGAAATGAATCACGTTAATAAATTTTGATAAAGAAAGATAAATAGTATAGGGTAAAGTAAGATTGAATGTTATTTTTGAAAAAATTTTGAAACGTTGACAGTTATTTTTCATGATTTTTGGAATATTGAACGTCATTCTATATATATATATATATATTTTGAAATTATAAGAATATTTGTTTTGTGTTAAAAACTTCGCCTATATTAATATTTTGGTTATCTTCAGCAACTTGCACCTCGCTTCAGTGAGGCACACGCCTCGCCTTACACCTCACCCTTAAGCTCCAGGAGATCTTAGCACCTCAATGCGCCTAGAGCTTTTTAAAACACTGATGGAAACATTCCATTGCTTTATACAAACTTTGAAGACTTCCTACACCAACTAGGACTTTTGATTTCTAAAACATATTTAAAAAAGACCAATAACAAGACCCATTGGTCAGCATTGCAATCCATTCCAGCAATTTATGAAAATTACAAAAATGCCCCAGGCCTTAAAATCATTAGGAACCTATAACAAAACTCAAATAAAACATTAATAATACTAAACAGACTCAAAACTAAATTATTCTAGATCTCAAGTAGGCCCAGCATCATCCAAGACAAGCCAAATCAATGCTTAAACCTTAGAATCATTTTTGCCACACTGTTTATAAACTCTAAACAACCATATGCCCTACTATTTTTGCAACTATAACATAAGTAATTTATTCCTAGCCTACATAATAAGTGGCAGTGAACACCACCATCCTCAAATTTTAAAATGAAAGAAAGATGACTTAGTTAGTCAGCCAATGTGCATTGAAGACCAATAATTCACTGGTGACCAAAAAAAAAATAATAAATAATAAATAAAAATGACAAGGTCTACATTGAGAATGATTGTATGCAAGGGGAAGACTGAAGTTGACATTAGTTGATATAGTAAGAAAACACTTAATAATATACAGTTTTCTTGAAAAGGGGTTCTAGCAAAGTACAATGGCCTTGCACCAATAAGGATCCACCCTTTTACGTTAATGGGTGCAACCATGCATTCATGCAGACCACTCAAACAGCCATTACACCAATGAGGATCCACCCTTTCACATTAATGGGTGAAACCATGCATTTGTGCAGACCACTCAAACAGATCTAATCAAATTTAAAATAGATTATTCTTCCTTTCATAGGAATTAGCAATTCTAAATGTTATATGACATTACCTTTATGTGATAGACAAAAGAATAATGTACAATAGAACTAAGTTTATCCCTCTCTTTTTTATTTTTTCCCATAGTTAGCAAAGACTACCTTATCTAAATGAAGGACGCATGCAATTTAAGCTTTCTCCTCATTATTCTACACAAGCATATTTCTCAAACAATTCAAAGGTCTAGGTGGATACACACCAACCATTTTGCACAATAAGTTGAGAAGACCAACCAAAATTGATAAATCTTTCCTACATGTGTAAATGGAGTATGGAAACATGGCACCTCCTGCAGAAGTGACTCACGGACCAAAACAAACCAAAACATCGCACACAATCTAAGTGACTCAGGGACCCAAATTGTGGTATATGCTAATAACAGGTCAGAAAAGGAATAGGAAACCCTAGCTAAAGTTGGTATAATATCCTTGGTAATTCCAATAAGGGTAAATTGACACACATCCAAAATCATGTCTAGTAAATGCTTAGATAACATCGTGAAGCAAAGTCTCACATCGCCTGAGTACTAAAATAATATTAAGTATATAAGCGTGAGGCCACCCTCACCTTAATAGCTAGCTTTTGGGTGAGTTCTACCCAAGACCATGTGAAGCAAAGTCACACATTGCCTGAGTACTAAAGTAATTTTAAGCATATAAGTGTGAGGGCACCTTCACCTTAATAGCTAGCTTTTGGGGTGAGTTCTACCCAAGACCGTGTAACAAACACTTGTATGATCATTGAGCCTAGAAGCTTGATGCTTAACTAGAAATAGTATCCCCCATGAAAACACACAAAATTGCATACACAACTAAAATCTTTGTATAACATTGCTTTTTCAAAGGAATTAACAAATGAGTTAGGGAGAAAAAAACAAAGGATCTAAGTACCTCAAAATCTGCTGGTTTTGAGTATTTATTGCTATCGGTATTGAGCCCATGCAAGAGAAACAACATAGGTTTTCCTGACCCTTGGAAGCGATCATGCAAAACTTTCGCAATCTCATCAGTATAGAAGACCATGCTAACCATGTATCTTTCCTGCAAAAGGAGGACATCAATACCAGCTAATTAATATACATGCAATGTTGACACATCAAAGGCATCGACTGTCATAGTGGGTTCACCTTAAAGAAGGATAATGGCTTTATTTCTCCCAACCAAACAGCATATTCTGCAGGTAACCTGGGAGCAAAGAGAATAGATTCCCCAGTTGCTACATCCTTCAACAACAACGAAAATCAAAGTTATGTTTAAATTAGAAAAGATTCAACAACTTAAAAACAAGCATATAATCTGGTTCACTGTTTGTCATTTTGCATTTTGAAACTTCATCATCAATCCCAACTAAGGCATCATTACTGGGTATGAATATAAAAATGAAGTAGATTCGCAATTTAAACAAACTAATTGTTTCAAATGGTGCCAGGACCAAGATTAAAATAATTTCCGGCATCTTAGCACATCCAAAACACGAGGGAGAAGGGACATTTAGTTAGTATTGACATGAAAATTGATGCCCAGTGATATTTAAGAATCCTCATAAGGGAGAAGGGGCATTTGGCTTTTTGACTTTTTTAGAAGAAGCTAATGTGTTTGAGAAGTTGCTAAAAAACTGCTTTTTTGTGAGTGAAATAAGTTGATGTGGCATTTTACATTTTTAGCTGATGACAAATAGGTTGGTGGCTTTTTGGCTTTTTGTTTTTTTTTAGAAAGAACTGGCTTTTAGGTTGTTCCCAAATGGCCACTGAATATCTATTTCTAAGTACATCATTGAGAGTGCAGTTTGATGTTACTTGAAATATGTTCAGAACTCAGGACTGATTACACAAGAAATAGTATGTCACATTTACACTTCACATGGCTAGACATTACCAAATATATATATTAGAACATTTCAGACAAATGAAAGTAACTTACAATAGCTCCATAGAAACCAGGCTCTCTCACCCCAAACAAGTAAGCAAAATAACTCTCCTGCCTAAAAGCCAAGTAAACAATTAATTAGTAATATATTCTTTATCCTTACACTGCCAGCCAAGAATCGCCAAATTGCAATAGGCAATTTTCCTATAATTCAGCAATGTTCTGTGAAAAATATCACTTTTTTAACTTTACCGTTGCAGAATAAAGTGCGTTGAGCATTTCATTGTAAGGAATAATGCAAGAAGTCGTGAATTATGTGATCATCTAGGCTCCATGAAAACAAACAGTGCATGAGAAATTGCTTCCATAGTTTATCAGATGCATCACAAATTCTCCCTCACACTCACAAAATGCACACATCAACATATGATGAAATTTAGTCATCCATTGTGTTTCCCGTGGGATTTGAAAGTACACACATCATAAAGGATTGGGTCCATTGACTAACCACAACCAGTCAAATCAAGATCCTAACATCTAATGATCCATAGTTCATGTACAACTTTAAAAATCCCAAAAAATGCCACTAGCCCACTGTTTCACTAACTTCTGTTTTGAAGGGAACCATTTAGGCTCCCTTTGGTTTATTGAAAGTTTTTTCATTTTATCACAAGTTATACCACATTTTCTATTTTTGATCAGCAACTTTTCCCACATTTTCTAACTAGCTTCTGAGTAAAAACAGCTATCTTCAGATTTACAAAAATGGCCCCTTTTTCTCCTCCACAACTTCTTTTTCTCACTGGTTCACATCACAGCCAAACAAGGAAGAACAAAAAAATCACTTCTAATTTCTTATGCATTCCTTCCTCGCTTGCAATTTCCAAACAGAGCATTACGCCAGGGATTAGAATCCTCTCCATTACATGGTTGGAATGGAAAGGTGCATTACATAATCAATGATTGTGAATGAGACATATCAACATATCTCTATTTCAAATTCAAAAATAGTGGAAGAAAAATTTGAAATTTAAACTAATTCAACAATTATGACCATAGTTTATAAATTTTAATGGCGTGCAATAATCTCATGCAATGAATTGGAGATCTCTCCATTCCAACCATATGATGAAAAAGATCTATTGAAGATTAAATTTTAACCAAATTTCAAAATTCTTCTCCGCTATTTTTGAATTTGAAATAAAGATTTGTTGATATATCTCATTGACAATCCTTAATTATGTAATGGACCTCACTCCATTCCAACCACACGATGAAGAGGACCTTAATCAATCTTAATCCACAAGGTGAGTGGGATTGGAAATTACTGTTTTAACAACATTTTTGTTAACTTTTTGTCGTCTTTAGTAATTTTATCTTATTTTTTATTTCAAAAAACTTTACACTTTTAATACTATAGATGGACCTAAAAAGTAAAATAAAAAATAAAAATGAAAAGAAGCTCGCTAAAGACAATATACATTATGTTGTTATCAATTTTACTCAGTGGGATCATATTTTAGTTTTACACAACCTATCATCATTAGCATTTAAATGATAACATGTAAATTTCATATCCTCTTAATCTGATTGGCAAAAGTAATTCAAACTAATCAAATTACAAGTATAAATAAAATATTAAACAATATTGTGGTTGTTGCAACTGGAATAAACATTGGAGAGCTAACAAACAAACAGAGCACTAAGAGAGAGAGAAAAATGCAGCAATAGCAATGCAACAATGGTTGTTGGAGAACAAAGCGTTGAGAGCAAATGAATGAACAAATACTGAGTTCGCCTAAAATAAAAAATAAAAAATTAATAATGCCATACAAACTAATAAAATTTTATTAAAAAAATTTACTCACAGATGTAGTACCTATTATATTATGGGTTATGCTACAGACCCCCAGTGGGGGTCAACCCCCAGTGACGTGGCGCACTGGGGTTGGCTGAAATCAAAAAAATATATATATATATTTTGGGCCAATAGGAGCCGACCCTCAGCACCCCCAGCTGGGGGTCTAAGGCATTTTTGTTATATTATTGAAGTTGGTCATATTGTACTTTCCAAAGTGCATCCTTTAATAATTTTTTTTTTTATAAAATATGTTTGTTTGTCTGAACAATCTGACTGACTGAATGAACGAGGAGGAGCTTTTCATAAGGTCTCACTTTACCATAACATTTTCCTTTCAAAATATTGAGATCTTGAATAAAAATTGACTTTTTTCTTTTTTTAAAACTCCACTGGTTTCAATTTGTAAAACTTCAAAAATTAAATAAAACCTAAAATTTTTGGGCAAAATTCTATATGTACTAAATCCAAAGTGCATCCTTTAATAATTTTTTTTTATATAAAATATGTTTGTTTGTCTGAACAATCTGACTGACTGAATGAATGAGGAGGAGCTTTTTATAAGGTCTCACTTTACCATAACATTTTCCTTTCAAAATATTGAGATCTTGAATAAAAATTGACTTTTTTCTTTTTTTAAAACTCCACTGGTTTCAATTTGTAAAACTTCAAAAATTAAATAAAACCTAAAATTTTTGGGCAAAATTCTATATGTACTAAATTTTTTGGAAGTGAACAAAGGCTGGCTCCCTCATAAGCATATCAAACATGGTGAACTCATTCAATTACGTAACACCCAAATCTATCCCGACAGTTTCAACTACGAAAGCAATTTTGAGATTTTCTTCAACTTGGTTAAGCTTCCCAATCATGATCGCATCATAGTATATAAAATTATACGCACATATAGGTATGATTTATACCTGAAGAGTTCGGTGTGATCCGTGCAATGGCGAGTTTGCTCTTCACCACCCTGAAATCGGATTGTTGATCAAATAATTGAAAAAAAAAATACATAGAATCGGAGCGTGAAAATGAATAAGCGAAAGGGTTCAAACTGGGGAGAGATTTGAATTTGTTACCTGGAGAAAGACGAAGGCTTGAAGAGGGCGTGAGGAAGAAGAGAGGTGTTCTTGGAGAGACTTGATGAGATTGGCTCTGTTGGTTTCGTGGAGCTCCATCGGAATCTGAGGAGGAGAGAGTGAGGTCGGAGAAGGAGAAGGAGAAGAAGCAGAAGCAGAAGCAGAAGCCATGGGAATGGCTTCCCTCGGGTTCGCCATTAACGAATGAATGGAATGTGAAGTGAATCCGCTGATTGCGTAAGTTAAACGGCGAATTTTTTTACGGACTGGACTTTCAACTGTTGGTTATTCCATTTTAGACCGTTCATTTTAAAATATTACCTTAGAGCATCTCCAACCGTGAATCAAAAATTTCACCAATTCTGAGTTCAAAAATGGCCATTTCCTGAATTTGATACTTCAGGCTCCAACGGTTCACCTTCACCAAATCTATCCCGGTTCCAACGGTTCACCTTCACCAAATCTATCCCGGGACAACCGGATGGTCGACCGGCCGGTTGACCGGTTAGGCCAAAAAAAATTTTTTTTTTTTTTTTTTGGGGAATTTTCTGATCTTTTTTTGAACTTTTTGAACTTTTTTCGGGACAACCGGGGTGGTCGACCAGCCGGTCAACCGGCCGGTTGACCGGTTAGGCAAAAAATTTTTTTTTTTTTTTTTAACGGTTTGAATTTTTTTTTTTTTGTTACCTGGAGAAAGACGAAGGCTTGAAGAGGGCGTGAGGAAGAAGAGAGGTGTTCTTGGAGAGACTTGATGAGATTGGCTCTGTTGGTTTCGTGGAGCTCCATCGGAATCTGAGGAGGAGAGAGTGAGGTCGGAGAAGGAGAAGGAGAAGAAGCAGAAGCAGAAGCAGAAGCAGAAGCAGAAGCCATGGGAATGGCTTCCCTCGGGTTCGCCATTAACGAATGAATGGAATGTGAAGTGAATCCTGCTGATTGCGTAAGTTAAACGGCGAATTTTTTTACGGACTGGACTTTCAACTGTTGGTTATTCCATTTTAGACCGTCCATTTTAAAATATTACGCTAATCGGATGTTAATAGTTATTTGATGAAATTATATTTATATTAATAATTTATTTTTAAAGTTATATTTATTATTGATATAAATTTGATTTTAAAGTTATATTTATTATTGATATAAATTTGATTTAATATTATCTTTTCTATAAATAAAATATCTGATGAGTCCTATTTATTGAACCGATTGGATTACTAATATAGATTCCGTGGTGAGTCTACAAAAACTTAACAATACGTTTTAGTTCGATTTTCAGATTGAAGATAAGCCTGAGCTATTTTATTGTGAGAACTACATTTTTTTCTTTTTGTTTCTTTTTTTTTTTCATTAATGTATACCAAAAATAAAATTTTGCCTTTTGCATTCCTGAGTCCATCATCATTATATACAAGTAGTATTTTTTTTTCACTTAGATGACATATTCTAAAAGTTTATCATACACAAGTAGTATTTTTTCTTACTTAGGTAACATATTCTAGAAGTTTACTTCTTTTAAAAAAAAGTTATATCAGCATGTATTGTGACACTTCACACTCCTTGGATTAATGGGATTGCTCTAAACACCTTTATTATTATACTTGGAGCCTTTTAGATTAATTTTGAAATATTGATTGAGGTGGTATCATTTTTGAAAAGTAGGATTGAACCAAAAATTTGATTCACATAGTTGTCCTATGAGCAGTCATCACTCTTTTGTCCTTTTCTTTTTTCGTACTTTGAATTTGGGTGTAAGACTAGAACCATTAGGAAGTTTAGTTCCGGGGCTTCGATTTGGATACAAGAACGACTTAAAACAGAGTCCGGCCAAGGGAGTTATGCCCATTTGAATTTTGAGTATCTATACTGGAAGCAAGTTGCGCTCGAGCGCAAGAAGTTGCATGAGAGCAGTCTGCGCGAATTTTAGAGATTCTAGGAGCTCTTTTTCTATGCTCGAGCCTAACTTTCTTTACTCAAGCGAACTAGTTGATATCAGTTACTTTAAAAGTGACTTTTCGACCCAAAAACTTTATTTTTTCTTCCTCTTTTCTTCCCCCCTCCTCCATACCCAAAACCCCAGGGCTGGCCCTGGGGCATAGGCCACAAGGCCATGGCCTAGGGCCCCTCAAAATAGACTAAAAAAAGGGACTCCCTCCTATTATAGTTTAGTGTAATATATTAGGTATGTTTTAAGTCTAAAAAAATTAAAAAAGGCCCATACTAATTTAAAATAAATTGACCTATTAAAAAATTGAAAGGCCATTCAAAAAAATTAGTATTGTTATCCATTGAAAATAGACCCAAAAAATGGCTCTCTCTTATTATAGTTTAGTCTAATATATTAAGTATATTTTAAGTCCAAAAAAAATTAAGGAAGGCCCAAATTAACTTAAAATAAATTGATCCATTAAAAAATTGAAAGGCCTATTTAAAATAATTAGCATTGTTATCCATTGAAAATGATTTTACAAAAAAATTAGATTAATCAAGTATGATTGATTTATTTGCTTCTAAAAATATAAGAAGAGTAAGGACTAAGCGATACTTATTAGTTATTGTAATGTAATGTTAAATATTTTTTGTGATTTTGACACAAATCTTTTGTCCTTTACTTTCAATTTTTTTTTTCATTCAATGAAAAAAAAAATGTAAAGGCCTCCAGAAATTTATTAGTTGATTATCGGCTTTGGACCCCAAAAATCTCAAGGCCGGGCCTGCAAAACCCTAGCCCTAAAAACCTTGATTTCATCCATTTTTCACATAGAATCCACCACGGATCTTGCATTAAAGATGAAGAACAAGTGAAGATGAGCATTTTTAACCGATTGGATCTTGATTTTGTGTAGGGTTCTCGTGGAAGTCTTGCTTTCTTGCTCTTTTCTTGAGGTATGATTACTTTTAGTTTTGTAACTCTTTATTTTGAGGATAATTATTTGATATTATTGTGACATTTATGCTATAATTCAAATTTTGAGTTTACAAAATTGGCTTTTGTTTCAAAAATGAGATTTCATCTACTTTCTCTTGAGATTTTTTAGGATAAATTACAAATACACCTCCTAACGTTTGATTAAAATACGAATTGGCCCATGTGGTTTTGGAAATTACATTCCACTCCCTAAGATTTTCAATTTCATAACAAATCGCCACTTTTATTAATAAATTATCAAGTCAATTAACAGTTTTTAATGATGTTATGTTTCAATTAATAATTTAGGTAATTTTATTATTGTATAAGAGAGCAATTATGAATTTCATTTTTTCAGTTAATTCTATTTAAAAAAAAATTATGACAAGGGGGCATTCGTAATTTTTCAAATCACAGAAAATAATCTGTATTTTAAAGAAACCCTAGGGGGTGTATTTGTAATTTACCTAATTTTTTATTATTGGCTATGGATTATGGAGATTTTAGTTTGAAGATAACATTTTACATAGTTTATGGGCAAAAGTCCCAAATTTATGAAAACCCTAGTTGTCAAATTTTGAGAAAATATGAAATTGATTTCAAATCTTTAAATTCCAAAAATTGAAACTCAGGTAAGTTTTCATAAATATATATATATATATATATATATAACACGTATCTCATTTAGCTCTTTCATGCCTACTATAACTAGTTATTTCGATTTTCTACTGGCGGCTTCAACTATAAGCCTAGCTTTATTTATTGGTCTGAGCAAGATACGACTTATTCGAAATTAATTGAATGAACAATTCATAAAAAGAAATCTTTCTGTGAGATTCTAGGTATTCTATAGTTCCTTCACGTGTCAATTGCCAATTCTTGGTCATTGAGATTCACAGGCGATTCGGATGTTTATTTAGGGAACCCTCTCTTTTTTCCCCTTTTAAACAAATCGAAATGATTGAAGTTTTTCTATTTGGAATCGTGTTAGGACTAATTCATATTACTTTGGCTGGATTATTCGTAACTACATATTTATAATACAGACGCGGTGATCAGTTGGATCTTTGATTAATTAACATTTTTCTTTTTACTTCCTCCATTTTTTTAATTCGCAGGAGGTAAAATTAAGGTTGCTATTCAAGTTAGTAAAGTTATTTCATTGTAATTAGACCTAATAAGAACGGAATCACGCTCTGTAGGATTTGAACCTACGACATCGGGTTTTGGAGACCCACGTTCTACTGAACTAAACTAAGAGCACTTTCTTATCACAGTAGATATGACTATAAAGAAAAGGATTCTTTTTGTACCCCCAATATATCTTGTATGCATATAGTACCATAAAATGAAAGATTATGTATGTTCAATTTGAATCGATCTCAATGGATCCCTTGTTACAGCCTAGAGGAGAAAAATAGGTAGGGATAACAGGATTAGAACCCGTGAATTTTTTTACCCAAAACAAAGGCGCTATAGCGATCCCGGTTGTCCTTTTACTGTTCTATTGTATTCCGGACTCGGTTCCATGATGTTGGTGGTGGTATACCTTGTTGTCATCCTTTAATTCCGCTTGAGTGAGTTTTAGGATGTATTGGGCAGAGTTGTTACAGGTCGGTTAGGCTTTGGTTTCAATTCTTTGTTGCCCAATTTTTAGGAGGTCCGCTCGAGCGGGTCTTCTTGCGCTCGAGCGGAGATTGCACACTCTCAGTATTTTGGTGCTCTGTAGAACTTCTGCAGGCATGTTTTTCACGCTCGAGCGGGTTTCTTTACGCTCGAGCGGTGGCGCTCGAGCGGGTACTCTGGCGCTCGAGCGGGTAGTACTTTTTTATGTAAGTTCGGGGAGGGGGAAACATACGCTCGAGCGGACTGGTTTTCGCGCTCGAGCGGATGTACTTTATTCTTGTGTCTTGGCGCTCGAGCGAGCCTTCTTACGCTCAAGCGTACCTAGTTTTTTGTTCTTGACGCTCGAGCGTTGTGTTCTCCGCTCGAGCGGGAATGTCGTATATCAGTTGGCAGCTGGGCATTTAAAAATCACTTTTTACATTCTCCCTCTCTCTCTTACTTTCTAAAAAGACATTTTGAGAGTTCTTCTCTCTAGAAACTCCCTTCTCTCTAGGGTTTGATCTAGTTAGAGTGTTTCCTTTTCCTTCGGCCTTTGTAAAAGTTGGGTTGATCGTCGAGGGCTACACATTGATCCGAGAATATTGAGTTTTGGAGCACGTTGAGTTTCTTCACCTTCTTTCCTTGAGCTCCGAATTTGAGGTAGGGATTCCTACTCACTCTTATGGTCTTTGACATAGATTATTGGTTGTTTTGATAAAGTGTTGAAGTTGGGTAAATTTTGGGACTTAGGGTTTCGAAATGTTAAAAGAGGGTTTTGTTATTTTGATTCCAAGAATGTGTATTATGAGTTTCAAAATAATGATATTGTTGTTGGTTGTTGAAATATAGACCATTGGGTCAATATTGGGAAATAGGGTAGAAGAACCTAATTGGTTGTATAAATTAATTGGTATGATTAATTTGGGAAAACTGTGGTTATATGGAATTGAGTTGGAAATAATGAAATTGACTCATTATATAGTAGAATAGTGGAGTTGGATTTGTTAATCGCTCACTTTTGAAAACATTGATATTTTATCTGTTGGAGCTTTTATTATCTGTTTAGAAATAATTGCTTGGGCTACCGGTGGAGGGTAGTTTTGATTGTTGTAGACAATACATGATGATTAGGCAAACTAAAACTAATCAATTGTGAATATGTCATAGAGTATGACGGATTGATAAGAATAACATCTAACTTATGTATTGATTATTGTGTATATGACCTTTGTGCATATACGTTGTGTGGTGGAGGAAGATAGGGGATTGTACCCACGGTTTAAAGAAGATAGGGGATGGACCTCTAAACCGAATGTTGTTTGGAAGGAGATAGGGGATGGACTCCACTGATACAGCTCATATGCTGTTAGATAATGTGTTAATATAGCTCATATGCTATCTTTGGAAGTGTTGATATAG